ATGTGAGATGTCACATCTTTTTTTTTCTTGCTTACAATTAATGTTTTGTGGGGGAAATGAGGATATTTTTTTCACCCAGGGTTTATCTAATGTTAAACTTCACGTTTGCCTAACAGAGCACATCTTCACAATAACAGGGTCCATTGCCAAAGGCAGCGTGCGGAGAGCTTGGAACCGCTCCCATCTCTTTCGGTTCACCTGTGAAAACATCTACGTGCTCCCCAGGACTGCATCTGTGGCTAGTTTTAAAGAATGGCTATCCATGCAAATAGGCGTGATTTCAGCATGAAATAACCTGTAAAAAATCAAGAAAATGCTCAGTGCTTAGATGGCAGCATGTATTTTTTTTTTTTTTTAAAGCGAGAGAGATTTCATCATGCAGACCTTGCTTCTGGTTCCTGTGTGAAGCTACAACATTTTAAAAGAGCCTGTTTTAGAATCTCGTGAAAGCAGTAGGATGCCTCTTCATATATGTGCGTATATACATATATGGGTATGTGCATATCAATATGTATGTATACATATATATTTGTATGTTTGAGAATAGAATACTTTTTGTATGCCTCAAGGTAAGAATTTTCTGAATTTGGAATGGAAACAAGCCTTAATAACTTCAGTACTGAGTTCAATGTCAATTTTGGGAAAATTGGACTCCTCACACAATACTGATAAAATTGGTTTCAGAAATACAAAGATGCAACGACAGATCTCTCACTAACACGTTAGATCTGATAAACCCGGTGTAGCTGTCAGGTGGGAGGGAGAGGAGGAAAGACTGAGTGAAACAAACAAGAAAAAAGATGACAGTGAATTCTCAGAAACACTTGCATATTGAGGGAGAGGTCTTTTCTGCATGCAGTTCAGCTTTCCAAAAGCGGAGCTCATTGCCACTATTTTAAAAATTTAATTCTCTTTGTGTACAAATCCTTCCCTCTTTAATGTCACCTGCAAAGCACACGGATCTCCAGTCAATACACTGACCCAACTTTCTGCAGTGTTTTTCTCCCCGTTCACCTTCACACCCAAACGGGAGATTGTGCTGCTCCCCATCCTTGCTGTGGGAGGAGCACCTCTGCACCAGAGGCTCAGACGTGACAGGCTGTGCAAGAGATGAGCACAAGGTCATCCCCAGGCATCCTTCCTTTCCCAGCTGCCATTTACCTCTGCGTCAACTGCACTTCCTCTCATCCAGCCCAGGTCTCAACAGCTGCACCCCTGCCTCCTGCCAGAGCCAAGAGGAGGGCTGTGCTCTTCCTAAGGTGGAAAGAATTGATATTCTCCCTCGTCTTCAGTGGAGAATAGTGCTAAACGTGCTTGTTGGATCTTTGAAGAAAAACAGCCTGAACTTCCTCCGAATTCACCAAACTACTCTGGTTTTTTTTTGCTGTTCCCTTTCAATCAGTCAGCATTTTTTAGACTAAATCATGATCCGTTTCTGTTGTGTGCTAAGAGAGTTTAATTACTTTTAGGTCTTGCTGTACCATACCCAGCTGAGACATAATAAATAGGATGAAACAAACGGCAAAAATTATATAATCGAGCAAGACAAGGGATTACACTAATAGAAGAAATATATCTCTCCATATAGCTTGGACCTATACTTAGAAATAATTGTACTCGTACACTGTAGGTTTATAACCTATGGAGGCTACGGGGACACTAAATAATTATAACTAGTTGACATAGTATTTCACTATCATAATGTCTCACAAACAGGATATATATATATATACACACACACACACACACACACATTATATATTATTACCACATAAGAAACACAGTTAAATTAGTATAATGTAAATTTAATCACTTGAAAATACTTTCAAAGCACTTCCACGGTTTCCCAATTCAGAATTTAGAAACTGCTATCGAGTGACTTTATCATTGATATTGTCCTGTCCATTAGGATTTTTAAAAAGTCTTTTATTTTTCAACATATGTACTAAACCAGAATGTCTCAGCTACAATTCTTATTGATTCCTGTGTGTGTTATGTACGTTAAGTCAGCTTCAACTCCTGGAGACACTAAGAATGAGTGATGACCGAAATGTCCAGTCTTCAACATCCCTGCACAGCTTCTGTAGAGTCCTGCCTATGGCTTCTTTTTATGGAGCCAATCCATCTCATATTTGGTCTTCCTATTTTCCTGCTACCTTCTATTTCCCCCAGCATTATTATCATCTTGTATTTTAATTTCAACATTAATTTTGAGTTGTACCAGGCAATCCGAAACTTCCTGAACAGCAGGGGTGAACCTGAGTATCAGCCAGTATGCAGAATATTACTGACATTGAATTTGAACTCCAATGTATTATTGATTAGATATACATAATCTACTCCTGTAAACTCCTCTTTAATTAAGGTGAACGTCTCTAGAGAATATTTTTCACTGTTAAATATTTTTGTTGTACCCTTAGGCACAAGTGCTCTAATAATTCTTATGCAACGGATATCTTAGCACAGCAGATCCTTCTAGTAAAATATAAGAATAAGTATCCAGGTACAATCAAGTCCGATTTTAATTACTCCCAAAGATTCTTAATTAACATTGGAGTGATCTGACATTCTATTTAACATAATCCTAAGGAAGCTGATGACTTGATGTGAGTAGAGAATAATTTTCAGTGAAGCATTTTTAAGGAACACTCTGGTGTGAAGTAGAAAGTGGTTAAGTGCTCTGACTTGAATCAAGAACTTGTTTGTGGGAGGGGAGTGCAACTTTTATGCTTCTACCTGGAGTCCTTATTCTGGACAAAGAAGTGTTTCATTACAGTAATTATCCAGATAGTTCAGACAAATCTTTTGTGAGGCAGGGCAATTGTAAGGTTGGCATGGTTTCCTGTTTGGATTCTTTAGATTATCTGTCTTCATTGATAAAAAATAATAATAATAATAAAAATAAAAATTAAGAAATTGCTCAATTACACTTTACTTCTTTTAGAAAACAATCTTTGAATAGGTCCCTCATCTACTTGGATCAACCTGGTTATGAAATTTCAAATGGAATTATCATTAATAAATTAATCTGGGAATCAGTAATTCAAAGGGGGGAAAATCTGATGATTTGATTTAGGTAGCTTACGCCTTCCCCCAAATCTTCACTGTCCCCTTCATTTTTGCTAATTAGCAACTTTTCCTTTGGAGGTATTTCTGCCTGCTAGCAGGTTAAGGAAACCTTTTATGTTTACTCTTTAAAGACTCACTTGACGTAAGTTAATATTTCAGTGAACTGAGATTGCATTGTCAAAACCTTGTATCAGATTTTAAAATTTCCTATTATCATTGAGTTCTCAAATCATAACCATTTCATTTAAAATGCCTCCATCCTATCAAAAATCCCATACATTTTTCACCAGCAAAGTGAACACAACATTTTTGAGACAAGCCTAAAATATTTATTTCTACTTATTTAAAAAGAGTTAGTAAATCAGAGTGAGATGTAATCTCAAAAAAAGACACATTTTTTTCCTTTTTGTTGAAATTTAAAATACTCCAAATGTCCTCCGAAGCTTTAGCATACTCTAGGCAATAAGATTTGAGAAATTCCTTGTGTATATATGTTCTTTCCAATTTGTATACGGTAGGTTCTTAATTAGAATCCTCTAACAACATAGCATGCACAATCCATCTTCATATTATGAAATCAGTAACATTTTATAATTTCCTTTGTTAATCCTAAACCTTAAACATTTCTTATATAATAAGTTGCAAATGCAAGACAATTCCTGAAATGATATAATAAATTCAGGGGGAAAGGCCTGTTTGTGCTTTGAACAAATAAATGGCCAACCTGGCAGCTACCTTATGTTTTAAGATCGCAAGTGCCACTTGTAGAGGGCTGATGCTAGGAAATGAATAAAGTGGGAACAAAGATACATGTTATGTGTGCATGACTTTCCCCCCACAAGGTGGTGATTAAACTAAATAGAATTCTGCATAATGGACACATAAAAATATCACTAAGTGCCAAGCACAGATAACCTCTATTAAAAAACAAGCAGAACATATCCATAGAGGACATTTCAATTATGAAAGAACTTCAGAGCCACCCAAGGAAAGTATTGGAGGGAAACTTTGATGCTTAAGTCGGAAGAATAAATAGCACATATTATCTCATTTCCACGAAACAATGAGCATCGCCCAAGCAACAAAACCAACAAAAACCATCCACCATCCAACCTAATTCTATGCAACTCAAGAAGTCACCTGTGTAAAGGAAAAAAAAAAGTACAGATCAAGTATGAAGAATCCAGATACAGTGCTTACATTAAATTCTCAACATCTCCCTTCACGCATTAAGCCACAGTCCTTACCTTCGTCTGTGTTACCATTACATAAACATAGCCGTGTTATGTTGCATGGACAGGTTAACCCAAATACTCCCCTTTTGACTTCCTCACCACGTACAGCCCTTTTCATTTCGAAAATACTCAGAAGTTCTTGTAAGGAACTCTTCACAGAACTGACTGCCCGCATCTTGCATCCAACAGAAAAGCAGTTACCTCTCACGTACTTGAGATTTCCCTTCCCCATCAAAGTAATAACTAGGACATCTGGCACATGTCTGGTACAATGACAGGCTCATTCCACTTTATGAGAATATTTAACATATGACTTGAAAGAGTTCATGCACATACCTATTCTTTCTGGGCAGAGAGAAAGCACACACTAAAAAGATAAGCTTTCACAACAGTCACACTTTCAAACTGACTTTGGTATTCTTGGCAGTTACACACATCACCCACGGCTGTCCAAAACACACACACACACACACACACACACACACACACACACACACACGACAGCTCTCCCCCCCGCCCTCCCCCCCACAGACCTGGGAGATAGACATAAACTGGAGGGAAGCAAAGGGAAAGTCAATCTCCCTCCACCTGCTGCCTGAAGTGGGAGTACTTTCAGCCGCCTGGCAGACAGAAGCCTGAGACACAGCCTCAGCAGCCGCCTGCCAACATCCTTAAGAAAAATAAACACACACGCACACACAAACGTGTCCCCTACCCCCAACCAAAGAACTCACATGGCAAGGGCTCAAAACATAACAACAGCCCATTCCCATTAGCCTGGACAATCCTATTAACCAGGGCAACCATAAATTCATAAATCTCTACAACCCCGGGGCATGCATTGTGGTCTGGAACTGCACAGACACACACAGACACAGAGGAAATTTGCACCTGTCTTTCTTGACACAACACACCTGTCAGGCCCTGCTCACGCGCATTCTGCTAACAGACCTCTGCCTACCTAGTTTAGGAAAGGGATTTTTTTTTATGGGAGGGCATAGGTGAGAGAGAGAGAGAGAGAGAGAGAGAGAGAGAGAGAGAGAGAGAGAGAGAGAGAGAGAGAGAGAGAGAGAGAGAGAACACGAGAAGAAAACTTCTAGCCTTGACTTTGAGAGAAGGCCATCCTGTACGCGGTCTGTTTTTTTAAGCTCAAGGAGACAACACAGACCTTCTTGGAAAAAAAATTAAAACAAGCAGGTGAGTTCCCAGCCTCCCCCCAGGCAGAGTAGGGCTCGGGACTGCCAAGAACAGCAGCACTTTCACACTCCTACCTGCCTCCTTGGGCTATTTAAGGAGACTGACTGCCTAAACCTGCCTTCTCCTTTTTCCCCACCGGCCTGGAGGACTCAACTTCCAAAGAGCTGAAAGGGGGCGGGAGACCTCCAGTCTCTCAAAACCGACTCCCCCATCGCAAATCCACACTCTCTCCAGCGGCTTCAGCTTGAGCAGGAGGAGTAACTGGCTGCCACAGCCCTAGGACCAACAACTCGCTAAACTGGACTTTGGGTGATGTCTCCTCTCAACCCCGCCGCCCACCCACAGACCCCCACCCCACCCCGTCTGTCCAGGCAAGATAGCAGCTCTTCCCGCCCCATCCACACTCACTCTTCTTCCCATTAACAAGGACTCTCACCTCTCCTTTCCTTCCACCCCCGTCGTCCAAACTGGGGCAAAACTGCAGGTACCACCCCGCCAGGACTCGATCCAAGCAGCCCGGCACCACGGGCTGCCAAAGCGATGACTGCGAGAGTCTGGGCCTCGCCAGTCCCCTGCCCAAGAACCCCCCACCCCCCTCCCAGCCCCCGAGCGCGATCTGTGGGTCCTCCCGCCGCGCCGGGGCACCAATCCCTCTGCCCCACGACCCCTCCAGGCCCCAGGAGGCGGCCTGACCCCGCTCCACTTGACCTACCCCGGGCTCCCCTGGAGCTCAGGAGCGGGGCGCCGCGCTCATCTCCCCTGGACCATCTCTCCACCGCCTCCTAACCTCGATTTCCACATTTCGGTGTTAGGAGAGGAAAGTCACAGAGCGCCCCCTCTTCCCTCTCCCCACCTCCCTCCCTTCTCCCTGGCCCTCGGCTGGGGTTCAAAAAAGGAGAAGTGAAAGGTATGCAAATGACAAGCAAATTGGAAGAGCCTGGAAGAAAGGCAGCTGTAATAAAGTAGACAAAGAGAAGGGACGCGGGGGCTGGCCCCGGACTTTTCTTCTTCACCCCGGGGACCGGGGAAGAAGGATGAGGCTCGGCGGAAAGCGGGGATCCAGACGAACAACAACAACAAAAAAGCGACCCCTGTCCCCCCTCCGGGGGTCCTCTCTCCGGAGCAGCGAGGGCAAGAGGACGAGGGAAGGAAGCCAGACGCCCCCCAGCGCACCCCAGCCCGGGACACACAAAAGGTGACAAGATCAGCGGCCAGTCCAGCACCGCCATCCCCTCCATCGCCACCGCCACCCGGGCACCGGCAAGAAAGAGAAAGAAATAAAAGCCGAGCAGCGAGCGGATCACTTACTCTCAGTCACTGGGGGAGAGCGGAGCGCGGAGTTCCACCGAGGCTCCTGCTCGGACGCGGCGGCGGCGTTGCCGGCGATTTGATTCTGGTTCATTTAAATCACCCCGTTTTCTCCTGGGGGGGTGCGCGAGGGGAGGGGGGAAGATGTTGACAAGCGTCTAAGTCCTGGGAGCCTCTTTTCTTCCCATTGAGGAACAAGCCAGCACAAGTGACTCTGGCAAAGGGGAGGGGACTGGCGAGGGGACAGCGGATACTCACGCGGGGCGCGGGGGCGCCGAGCCGCGCGGTGGGGTGCGCTCCCCGCCGGCGGCCGCGAGGGAGACGCGCGCGCCCGCACCCGGCGGAGGTCCCGGCGGGCGGCGAATGTAATAATAATCGGACAAGGGACGGTGAGTGTGACGGGGCGAGAGAGGAGAGGGAGGGGAGGGGAGAGAGCGAGCGGAGAAGAAGAGAGGAGAGGAGCGCCGGGAGCAGAGCAGGAGGACGGGGTGTGGGCGGACCCGGCGGCGAGGCTCCTGCGCCTCCGCTCGCCCCGGCGGCGCGGCTGGACTCTGTGCCCGAGCGCTCCCTCCGCTCAGGGCTGCGCTCCACGACAAGATTTACTTTAAGACACAGCTGAAGGAAACAGGAAGACTGCACGTCACAGTCTGACTGACGTACCCGGCCCCGACACCCAATCGCGAGGCGCCTTCGGATGCAAGGGGGGATAGCCAGGCGAGAGAACTTGGGAGGGGAGGAAAAAAAATTATAGAGAAAAGGGGTGGGGGTGAAGGGCTGGGAAAAGAGGAGGGGAGAGGGCTCCCCCCTCCCCCCGCGCTGCTCCTCCTTCCTTCTCCCCCTCCCCTGCCTCCACCCCAGGCCTCTACCCCCAACCCCACCCGCGCCCGCCGCTGCGCCGGGGCCACCGGCTATTGCCGCGCCGGGGCCAGAGCGAGCCCTCTGCGGGCGCGATGCGATGCAGAGCGGGCGAGGGCGCGAGCGGCGCTCCGCTCCCTCCTCTCGCTCCTCCAGGACGCGGATGCCCTGCCTCTCCACCCTCTTCATTTCCCCGGGAGACACAGCCAGGGGAGTTCGCCCCCTGCTCCTCCTCGGACTTGGGTGGAGGGAGGCACGGGAAAGTGCCCCGGAGAACAGTGTTGTGTGTGTGTGTTTTTAGGAGGTGGGGTGGTATGGAGTAGGGATCCTGAAATCATTCCACTTTTAAAATGAGGATAGATAGTGTCAAGAATACAGGCCACTAGCAGAATTTTAAAGGCAGAATTTTAAAGGGGGAGGTGGACACTTGTAAAATACAGGTGGGTTTTGGGTTAAATTATAGATGCCAGAGGTTTTCCACTCCGGCCCGGTGGCATCTGGTATGGGATGATCAGCGCTGGCCGAATCCCAGTCCACCTCTTGTCCTCGAAATGATCAAGAGCAATCCTTGCCCTTGGCTGCCTCTGACCACATTATGTGGATGGCAGGCGCGGTAGCCTTAAAGAAAGCGTGAACAAACATTATCTGGAAGTTACCCCTCAGTCGCAAACCCCAGAGTAACCAGAGATGGGTTTCAAGCGCAATCTACATCACTTTGAATCCTGGGTGACAAACTTCAAAAATGTATTGATTAGGTAAGAAAATGCAAATGCTTAACTATCGGGCGCTCCCACATAAAGCTTTTGAAAATTCACTTTGGTTTGACATATCTGGGGTGAAAAAATAACCAGCAAGTTTGCTTTAGATAAGGTGGCTCTTAAAGAGCTCCTTGGGATTTGCAAGTTACAAACCGTTAGCCCTGCAGCTAGGACTTCTTTCTCTCAGGGCACAGTAAATGGCTTTTCATAAAGCGACCAAGTTTATGACTTAAAAATGCTAAGACTTGCACTGGCTGCAAAGCAGACACATTCATACTTAGTTGACAGACACTTATTTTCTTAGGTAGGATGGGGGCAAGTAAATGCTCTGTGTCTCCCCAAACTTAATCAGATCAAAGGTTGAGTCATGTTGCATCCTGACAATAGGGTGTTTATGAGGTGTGTTATAAGTACACAGGGAACACTACCACCGGCTTCTGCAAACACACACACACACACACACACACACACACACACACACCCCTCCTAGGACATTTACCATTCCAGCCTCAAATTCATCCAACTGTGAGGGAGTATTCTCTTTGAATAAATAGCAATGCTACTCTGTCCAACTCTATACCCTGTAGGAAACTTTTGGCACTGGGATTCAAACACTGAAAAGAAGAAAAAGAAAACCAAGCCGTCCAGGTTAGGTGTCCAGGACAAGACAGGAGACTTGCTTGAACATCCCCAGCCTTCCTTGTGTCCCTTCCAAAGCCCTCAGACACCCCGTTACTGAAAGGACACGGACATGCACAAACACACCAATCGCACTTGTGTGATAGGCTACTGTACCAAGTTTTCTAATGGAGATGTGACATTTTAGGCTGGGAATAGAAATCCTCTACCAGCATGCCCATTAAAACGCCGTGTGGAATAACGTTTCTATTGGCTGGGTCCTTTCGAGGTAAGCGGGTGTCTTGAGCAGAAATATTTGGGTCGGAGATACTGTTTTCCTTCTTTTTCCTCCTATTATTTTTTTTTAAGCATCCCAGTGTGCACGTAGCCGGTACATAAACTGGTAGGAGTAAAGGATCCATACCCTCCGCACCTTCAAACCATCTGCTCAGTTTGACATTTAAAAGGGAAGAGGGCAGGCAGGGAAGGAGGAGGGGGAGGAGAGAGAGGAAAGGAAGCCCAGAGGGGCAAGATTCAGACTCTAGGAGGAGTAGCCTTTGAGTTTATGTCAGTTGCACCTAGCGCTCCATATACCATTTGCACACACGCTCCACTCGGGAGCTAACGGCGGCGGGAAAAGTTTCCTTGGAGCTTTAGTACTTTTTCTCACTCCCTGATTTGAAGTCGGGGTAACCCGCTTGGCAAACAAGGGAACATGCCCCACCAAACCCGTCGCCTATGCGGCTGAGGCTCGCGGCTCTCCCCGCTCCGCCCTGGCAGTTCGCAGCCCGCTCCCGGGCGCAGGAGCTGAGGGTTGAAACTGAAGCGCGCGTCGCCGGGCGGGCGAGCTCGGTCCCCACAACAGCCGGGCTCCGTGAGCCGCGTCCTCGGGGGCCGTCCCCCGTCCCGGATTCCCTATGGTCGGGTCGACGTGCAAGCCAGGCTCTGGGCCAACCTCTCCTGCCAGAGCCCAGGCGCTCTCCCAGATCTCACGCCACCTGCCTCCCTGGAGCAAGGCGTGAGGCCGGAGACCCCTATCTCCTGCGACTCCCGGTTTGCTTTCTGATATGGGGAGAAGCGATCCGTCAGCCCAGAGATGACCAGTCGACCAGTCGCCTAGAGGCCGGCTCCATCTCCAGAGAAACCAGCGGCCAAACCTAGGGGTCAATCCCTCCCTCCTCTCTGCTGCCAGCACAGCCCCAACAACTTAAAAGTTAACCCGAATTCTGAGCAGTCTTCCAGCCAACCCCATCCACGCACAGGCTGCGTTTACTCCTTGATCTGAAGGGTGATCTGCGTGTTCTCAGTCAAACTTGCAGTAATCGCCTGTGCATCTGGTTCTGGGTTAGACACGCGTCGCCTTGATATTTCCTCCGTGTTATTTCAACCCCCATTCTGTTCTTTCTGAAAGCCGTAGGTGGGGGATCCCAGCGAAGATTGCATTTAAGTAATTTAAAACCTTGCAAACAACTGTCATCGGATCCTACACAAACCAATTCGGGCCATTTCAACCAGATCCAGTGGAGACATGGACCGTGGGCGTGGATTTCAGGCGAAGGAGGATGCTGGCGATCCTTGCCTGGACTCACACACACACACACACACACACACACACACACACACCCCACCTTCGGCCATACAGCAGCACGGCCACCCAGAAGAGGGGAAGAGAAAGAAAGAAAGAAAGACCAACTCCAAGCAGGCCTGCTCTGAGCTGTCCAGAGGCAGACAGACTGACTGACCTCCCTCTTCTCACCCCCGCAACCCCCTGCCCGCTCCCGGGGTGACCCCAAGCCCACCCTGAATTTGTTCCCAAGTGTCTGAATGGGGGTGTGGGGGGGTGAAATGCCACCCCGCTGCTTTAGAAGCCTCCCCAATGATGTTTGCTTAACCAACAGCTCTCCAAGTAAACAGGCGAATCCCTCCCAAAAAGTGGAAATAGAACCCTTACAAGAATTTGGGGTCTATGTGCTGGCAAAAAAAAAAAAAGCCATTTTAAAAACACAATACAGCCCCCTCCCCAATAATAGTCCCCCACAAAGCTTAAAAAAAGAACCCGTAATTGTCATTAAAAATACATATCAATTCATGGAAAGGTCATGGCTATGAAGTTACCTGGAAGCAGATCCCTCCTCCCCCACAAACACAGCCCTCCCGCGGGGAGAAGGGGAGGAGGGGAGCGGTTGTCAGTCTGAAGGGGGCAAACCGCGGCTTGATTTTAGGGAAATGGGCAAAAGCGATCTAAGCAAGGAAGGTGCCTTCCCTGCCCGCGAGAGAGGAGGCCGGGAGCTCCGGGCCGCCAGCCCTGGCTTTGCCTCAGGCACCGAACTTTCCAATATCAAGATATTAACAGATGGCGGTGAGCACATGGAGGGCTGTTACTTACATAATCCAGCCGCTCGGCCGGCCGAGCACAGGCCGGCCAGGCGCCCGCCAGGCCGCGCGCGCGCCCTGCGAGGAGGGGTGCTGTTGCCCCCGAAATGGCTTGCCTTTCTCCACCCCCACCGGGCTTTGGGGGGGACTCAGGTTTAGAAGGGTCCTGACCCCAACAGGGTAGCGGGGGGCGCACGTGGGTCTGATTGTGCTTTATTCGCCGTCCTGAAGAAGCTGGAGACCCAAGGGCCTAGGGAAGCGGGGGGGGGGGGGGGGGGGGGACGGGGGGGGGGGACGGGACCACGGGACCTTCTCCCTGGGTACTTGGGGTGCCAGGTAGTAGAATTTACCCAATTTACACCCCTTCTTCTTTGGCTCAAATTAGCATATCTGTCGTGGTCACCTAAGTACAAAGGCAGGCAGGCTCTGGCCGCAGCCGGCGTGGGGTGGGTGGGTGCGGGCGGGGGTGCACGGGGACGCCTCTGCGCGCGGGGGCGCCGTGGGCACAGTGACGCGCAGCCTGGGGCGCCGCTGCCCCTCTGAGCTCTGGCAGGTTTTTAAGCGCCGGCTTGTCCTCCTCACGCGCGAGGAGTCCCTTTGGGCTGCGGGGAGGCCGCCTGGTGCCCCCACCTCCCTAGAGGCCAGTCCCTCCGGGTGGACCGGGTCCCTCCTCCGCACGCGTGCCGGGGGACATGTGTGTTGGCCGATAGCGACTCGGAGCCGCCGAAACCCGCGGGGCACACGCCTGCGTGTGATGGGAAAGTTTCGGGGTAGGAGGGAAGGCTGGGGAGTGTCCCCTCCCGGCCCTCAGTGGTGCTGGGCTGTCTGGCCCGGGCTTCCTCGGCTCTCCTCCTCCCTCCCAGCCCTCCATCCACGGCCTCTGGACACACAGAGGGGCCAAGCGCCTGAGTTGCTGCAGCGGCGGCGCCGGGTTCTGGGCGGAGTGCACGCCCCTCGCGCCCTAGCAGCCCCGGGGGTCCCCGTCTCTGGGCTCCCCAGCCTCCTCCGGGGCCCCCGCAGGCGCTATAGCCCTACCGGGCTGGCTGGGGCTCGGCGCACGCCTGCCTGGCGCAGGGGGCAGCCACCTGCTCCGGGCGCGGCGCGGAGCTGGGGGACACCATGCGGCCACCGCGGCCGCCAGCCTGTTGCTGCGGGACGCTGGTGCCCACAGCCGGCTGATGCGTTCGACCTGAGACTGGGGGGTCTCCAGGGACCTAAAAGAGGGGCGGGGACCCTTTAAGGGATGGACATCTCCCTCCGTTCCCCCCCACCCCCGCCCACGCCTTTTCTTTTGTCAATTAGTCTAAGAATATGTGTCCATTATTCCCAGCTTCCCTTTCTTGGATCTTTCCAGTCCAGGGTGGGGATTCACTGGAGAGGCTCTGGGGATAGGACTTGAGTGAGCCTCCTCCTGTCCCTAATTGCCAGGCTTTTATACAGGACGACCAGCCGGTTAGAAATAAACAGGCGTAGGCTGAGCACACAGAGGGGATGGAGAAGGAAGCTCCCAGTTTGGATTTATTGGGATGGGGGGCGGGGGGTGACGCTGAGAAGTTGCATTTTGTTTAAATTAGAGCAAGACCAAGTTGAAAGCCAGATTTCTATAATTTTTCTGGTAATATTTCTTTTATGAAGTATTTAAGTGTCTGTTTGTCATCATTTTGAGATCAAAAGGAAAATCCATATGCTGCATAGTTTTTCGAAATTGCTATTTAAATATGTTATCCAACGTGGAGAGAGGGCTGCTGGGAGGCAGACTGGTGACAGGGATAGCTGGATGGTTTGATGTGAAGCAGGGTTCCCAAGACCTGGCTAATCCTCCAGCATCACCAAGGGGACTTTTTAAAAAATAAGGATTTCTGGACCCACCCCCAGCTGGGCAACTGCGGAAAGACTGAGAAGCTAGGGGTCATACCCTATTTCCAATCACTGCTCAGCCAGTTACTGACTCTGTGACCTTGGGTGTATTATTTAAGCTATCTGAGCCTCAGTTTTTTGTTTGTTTGTTTGTTTTTGTGTGTGTGTGTGTGTGTGTGTGTGTGTGTGTGTTTTATCTGTTAAGTGGGGGATAACATCCAACTCATGGAGTATTTTTTATCCAGCTGTTGACTTTTACATCAGTAAAATTGTTCATGTGAGCTTCACGATTGGTGCTGAGTCAATGGAACCTATTAGTCTACAAATGTGTGCTCTACACACGTGAGCTGACAGGTACTTCTATATAGACACCGCCTCCCAATATTCTGGTGAAGCTAACATGATTCTCATTCCATGTGACAATCCTGATGAAGCTAGCATGATTGTCATCCCATGATGCACATTTTAGTATATGCTTAGCTGCTGCTTTGGGCATTCTATATGCTCACCTCCCCACCTTGTAGGCCACAAAAATAAATGAGAATGGGTGTGTGTTTGGAAACCAGGTCCTGTGCTCTTGGGTCAGGCCCGGGGTAGACAGGAGGCATTTGCCAAACTAAATTTTTCTTTTTTTCCTATTTTTTTTTCTTTCTTGGTCCTTTCACCGAACCTGCTTTATAGATGGAAGCCTTTCCTACAGAAGCTGCCCATCTGACCCATGAACCCACAGGACAAAACATTCTATTCAAGGAGGGAACAGCAAGAAGGAAAAGAAGGTCAACATTCCTAGGTAAAACTAAAAAAGAAAAAAAAATTATACAATACCATTTATCATTATGTTCTTACATGCCAGAATGAACAACTCCCCCAAATCTACATGTAGTAAAGTGCAACCCTTCATGACAGTATGTCCAAACCAATGACCACGGGCACACCCCAAGGTAATTAAGAGCCCGGCCAAAGACAGCTGCGAGAAGGAACAAGCTCGGTGGGAAGGTGCCATCCCTGGCTGTGACTGTGCAGCAGGTGAGGGAAAACAGCCAGAGGAATGCTCAGGCTGAAGCAGCGGGGACCAGATCAAGAAGGCTGACAGTTTTAGAACCGGTGATGGGCGTGCGTAGCTAATTCCACGTCCCCAGGAAGGTGTTTTGCTGGTGTCCTCAGAAGGCTTGAGATAAGTAACCAGGGTGTCTTGCTGGGAATGGGTAAGAAAGAGATTGGCAGCTTGGGGTGCCTGCAGGCGCCCAGGCCCTAGTGAATGATCCCAGGGGCTGGGAGCAGGCCAAAGACCAACCATCAAGCCAGATGCCTGTCCTCTGAGGGCGGGAGGATATCTTTGGGCAGGTGTGGAAGATTCCAGCTCTCTGGCCACTCTCCAGAATGCAGGCTTGGAATCGGCAGGGGAGGAAAATGGGTTGTCTGTGACAAGTTAGGGGACAAAACAGAGAACCTCTAACTACAGCGAAACAGTCAAGCTGGTAGTAGGGGGACAGGTAACAACCTCAGGTGGGTTTCTTATTCCAATCACCCTCCTGGTGAAAGGAGTGCTTTTGTGTACACTTGTGGGGAGGGGATGGGAAGGGAGAGGGCAGAAGCTGTGAGGGAAGTGTGCTGTGTCGGGGATTGAGTATGGAAGGGCAGGCTGGTAGGGGGAGGTAATGGGTGTGGGGTGGGGAGAACAGGTGGGAAGGGAGTGTGTGAGTGGGGGGAAGTTGCTGAGTAGGGGTGAAGCCAGAGTACAGATGAATGGGTGGGGTGGAGGAAGTGGGTGTCAGCAGAAGGTGAATGGGTCAGTGTGGATAGCCTATAGCTGGGGATGGCAAGGAAGCAGATCTAGGGCAAGAGAGAGGAGGTGGGAGTTCTATTGGGAGGAGCCTGTACCTGCGGCGGGTAGGGGATGCCTGGGAAGGGGGGACTGGCGAGAAGTGTCCACGACCCCAACGGAGCTCCAGTGCCCCAGGGCAGGCTAGGTGCATGCGGGGGAGGCAGGAGGAGAGGCCCACAGGAGGGAGGCTGAATGCCGTGCTTGCTCAGACCCAGGGAGAAGGGCTAGGTCTTGCCTTCCTCCTGCCCTTACTTCGCCTGGGAGGCTTTGGCACTCAGCTAATCCCAGGTTGGCAGGAAGGCCTGGGACCCCACCTCCGAGCAGCAGCCACAGCAGGTGCCTCAAAGGCTGGACATCCGGGACTCTTCTGTCAGGGACTCTTCTGGGAGGCGCGCCTGGGGGCGGAGACCAGAGCCTTCCCCAGCAGCGCCTCCCCTGGCCCTGAGCAGGCATGGGCTTCCTCCTGCCCCACCCCAGGCCCTATTCCCTCCCTCCTGGGGGTCCCCTGGGTACTGGTTTCCTCCCAGAAGAGGTGAGTCGCCCCTCTTCATCTCCATCAGGAGAATCCTCAGGTGGAGAAGGGGGGTCCAAGACCCAGAGTGGTCTCAAGGAGGATCGAATAACTCAGTTCAGCAGATAATGATTGTTTGCAGGACACCGCGAAAGCATGGCAGTTGGTGTCCCTGTTGTGAGAACAGATTTTGGTTCTCAGCCAACCCTGGTGGACAGTTATTTTCTGTGTTTGATTCGTCGGCTTTCTGAAGCCTCAAAGAGGGGCCCGCTCTAGAAGAATCTGGACGAGGGGTAGTAATGTCAACACCTGCTCTCTGCTCATTACTCCAAAGTGGTCTTTCAGTGAGAATGGGGAAGGAGGCAAACAGACAGTGAGAAGTGTGGGGGCTAGAAACAAGAATGCTTTCCCACCCACCTTCTGTGTTCTCCTAGCTGGGCTGGTAATTAAATTAACAGGAGAAAATGCAATAAAAAAAATATCTTATTGATTTTTTACAGAGAGGAAGAGAGAGGGATAGTTAGAAACATCGATGAGAGAGAAACGTCAATCAGCTGCCTCTTGCACACCCCCTACTGGGGATGTGCCCGCAACTGCAACTGAGGTACATGCCCTTGACATGAATCGAGCCTGGGACCTTTCAGTCCGCAGGCTGATGCTCTATCCACTGAGCCAAACCAGTTTCGGTGAAAATTCAATTTTTAATACATGTGCATGGGGAACTAACAGAAGCATGGGAAATTTAAAGACTGAGTCGGCATGGGGTATACATGAATTTTTGACAAAGGAGAACATTTTTGCTAAGTGGGAATGGGTAATTTACAGGTAGTTCAAATTGCGGGCAAATTCTTGGTAGGCAACTCAGAGACAATGGGATACTGGAGGTATTTAGCTAACGGGCCCTGCCTGAAGCTCTCTTAGTTGCCAAACTTAATTCAACTTAGGCTAAGGCAGTGGTAGGCAAACTCATTAGTCACCAGAGCCAAATATCAACAGTACAATGATTGAAATTTCTTTGGAGAGCCAAAGTTTTTAAACTTAAACTTCTAACGCCACTTCTTCAAAATAGACTCGCCCAGGCCGTGGTATTTTGCGGAAGAGCCACACTCAGGGGGCCAAAGAGCCGCATGTGGCTCAAGAGCTGCAGTTTGCCGACCACAGGGCTAAGGAGACACCCTTATATTTCCTTCCCAAGGCAGGTTTTTCTGTCTGAATATCTTGAGCAGAAATAGGGGGAGGGTTACAGGTTCTTTCTGAATCTTCTGTTTCTTCATAACCAGTTTAAAATTAATATCCCAGCCAAAATCGGTTTGGCTCAGTGGATAGAGCGTCGGTCTGCAGACTGAAAGGTCCCAGGTTTGATTCCGGTCAAGGGCATGTACCTTGGTTTTGGGCACATCCCTGGTAGGGGGTGTGCAAGAGGCAGCTGGTCGATGTTTCTCTCCCATCGATGTTTCTAGCTCTCTATCCCTCTCCCTTCTTCTCTGCAAAAAATAAATAAATAAATAATAATAATAATAATAATAATAATAAATTAATATCCCAAAAGGCAGCTTCAAGGGGGCAAAACTTTGGTCCCCTTCATAAGCAGTGATAGAGAATTCTAGCATTTGTTGAGCATTTTCTAGGTCAGCACTGTGCCCGATGTTTTGTACATGGCATTTGCGATTTCTTAATTCCATCACGCTGCAGACTAGAAGACACACCATCCATTTAAAGTTGGCCTTTGGGAGAGAAGGAAAACACAGTGACCCTCCACGCACTGTGCACTGTGAGACGTACCGATTTCCTGAACATAATAAAACACGAGAAAAAAAGCGAACCTTGAAAGTTTGCAGTAGTCGTCTGACTATCTAAGTTTAGATTCTAGATGGACTGCAAGGGACAGGAGCCACTGAAGTGTTTTGAATATATAACAATCCATCGCACTTATTGCCTGCCAAGCACCATGCACCACCATAGTTATCATTTTTAGAAATAAGGTACAAGTGTAATGCTTCCAACCACCCTGCTGAGAATGATCCCCACTACAGGGTGAGTAAAAGGGGGCTGGGGAAGGTTTCACCACGCGCTCAAGGCCACAGAGACAGTAAGTACAGTTGGAATGGGGACCCAGGACTGCCTGGGGTCAGAGCCAGAAGGGTGTCTGCCAGGGTTCGGAGCCTCTGCAGGCATTGGGCTTTGTCAGCTTTTTCCCAGCCCTGGTTCCGTCCTGACTTTTTTACTATCAACACCCCCCTCCACGCAATGAGATTTCCCAGAGGAGAATGCAATTCGTTGAGGGGCAGGGGAAGAGGACAGGCAGAAGGTACAAAATAGTCAAATCACCATATTTTTCAGATTCAAATAAAGTCTTTAAAGGGTAAAAAGCCACGCGTACCACGTCAGGTTTTGCTGTGCACTGCAGGAAGTCCATGAATTCAAGGATCCCCGTTTTGCTGAAAATAGAATTGTAAAAAATAAAAGGGGTGGGTTGGCGGGGGTTGGGGGGAGGAGAAAGTGAAGGAAACTAATCCTATTAAACGTGGTAGCATGTTTTTGTGGCACGCAGGGAGAGATTATGCACAGGAAAGGGGATAAGTGGTGCTTCAGTTTCACTAAACTAATGTGACAACTTGTCATTGGAAATCTTTGCAGCTTGTTAGTAGATGACTAGCTGATTCAGAAGTGTTTTCTATCATTCCCATTGTGTTTCCCGTGAGGTTTTTTTTTTTTTTTTTCTCTCTCTTTCTTTTTTATTTCTTTCTTTTCCTGTTTCTTTCTTACCCACGCTGCTCTGTTTTGCTTTTTAATCTTTCATGTCTCCTTCAAGTCAAAACATTTAGCTGGCTCTAATCAAGATTTGGTTTTGAAGATGCCCTTTGACCTCGAGTTGCCCAGAGAAGCCAGGGAGGGACAGCTTTCCATCCTAAATCGGGGTCCGGGGTCTGCCCAGTGGCTTGAAAAATCAAAACTCCTGGAGGAAAATTCTCATTTCAGATTCCATTTTTCTGCAGTTCCTCCCCCTTTCCCTTCCCTCTTTTCTTTGTCTCTCTCTCTTTCTTTCTTTCTTTCTTTCTTTCTTTCTTTCTTTCTTTCTTTCTTTCTTTCATCCTCTTATTCTCTTTTTTTTTTGCCTTTCATTTCCATGCCCCTGTCTTTTCTCACTTGCCTCTTTCTCCTGTTTTCCTAATTTCCTTCTTCTCTCTTGCTTTCTTGCCACTTTCTCTTTCATCTCTTTCCACGAATTTCTTTTCCCTCTTTAATTCACTCCAGTAACTCTCATTCTCTCTTTCTTTCATGGAGAAAAGTTATGAATCTCTCAAGGTGGTCATTTTCCCATGGAATTTGCTCCCGGTGAAGAGGGCGGTGTTGCAGGAAGGAGGCCCAGGACCCACCGTCACAGACGCGCAGGGAACAATAAGCTGATCTAAATTAGGAGGAAGCGAGCATTGTAGGCTGAGTCTCTGTCTTT